TAATATCCAAGTTGGAATTTAGTAAGACAACAGCAGGCTCATTTCTGCTTATTGCTTTCCTAAAGCATGGTGAATATCTCTAACAAGAAGAGATGCCAGTACCAAAAATCTCTTATACACTCACAGGGACCTTTTGCTACATCATTCATAGAGGTATTAGGTGGTCACCAGGTGATAATGGCCAATTAAAATGTTAACAAAATCATGCATGGGGTATATTGACAAATTGACTGCACTTTCACTTAAGCCAAGTATAAATATCAAGGCACTTTTAAATCTCCATCTTTGGATTTTTGAACCTAGACATTAATTTTATTCTCTGTAGCATAAGTAAAATAAGTTAATTTGCATTTTATACTGTAGGCACAGCTGGCTGAAACATTCTGTGAGGAAGTAGACACCACTACAGATAATGACACTTGAATGTTAAAGCAATGGCTGGAATAAAATCAACAAAAGTTAGGAAGGGCAATGCTGTACTATGGGTCTCTCTTTGGCTAGATTTACTAGATCTCATAATTAGTATGAAATCTGTGGCAGTATTGGACTTTTTAAATATAATACTCAAAATCAGTATTATTATAGTAATAATTATTATTAATTACTTAAGCTGCTGTTTATTAGATGTCTACCACATACCAAGCAATATTCTAGATCCTTTATCTAAATTATTTCACATATTTCTCATAACAACCTTTATGGTAGATCTTATTATCCCCATTTTATCCATGAGAAAACTGAGGCTCAGAGAAGTAGGGTGACTTTCCCAACGCCACTTAGGTAACCAAGAACAGGAGTCTGAATGGTGTCACAAAAAGCAGTGTGTAGGATTTTATTTTATTTAATTTTAGATCTTAAAAGAAGATGCCTAACTGATCGTCTCAGTAAACTTTGTGTAGCCCTGTGAAGTTGCTTATGAAAGAGGTGCTGAGAATGTTCTATATCTTCTAATTCCCTGTAGATCCCGGAGGATGATATTAACTGGAAAAAAACATCTATGTTAAGAATGGGAGTGCTAAACTCATTCTCGGAGACACTGAGGCTGGCAAGTCCAATGCACCCAGAGATATAATGAGAAAAAAAGCACACACATGCACAAAAAAGGAGTCTTTGGGTTTTTAGTAACTTGAGCATCTTAGTAATGGGCACAACTGAGAGAATTCCATGTTCCCTTTTGGACAAGCAGTTCACATGTCCCAAATGGAGAACCAGGAACCAGGGGGAAGACTGTTTAAAGCAGCCTTATTCTCCTGAGGGAGGTAGGAGAACAAAGAGGCCATGCAGCTGATACTAGCACCATGCAGTGGAGCTGACACAGCATATAATAGAGTAGCTCCATGAATATTCCAATTTCAAAGATATATAAAATTACCACCACCCCCTTTCCACTATTTTTCATTTCTGGATGGGACATACTAAGTGGCCTCACGGTATGATGGAATGCTGAGTTCTTGTGACAATGTGATTGAAACTTCATATGTTTTTTAAAACAGAGAAATCTTTGACTTCTACTAGTCTGAAATTATATTTGGCAGCATCATTTTTCCAAAACATTGGCACACCTGGGACAATTCATTATTTCTGTACTATAACTCACTCCTAAATAGCAAGAATATTCAAAAGAAGAACTTTGTTTATTTAGGCTCGTGCATAGCTTTATTATTTGGTGCATTTCCCTAGAAAAACAGGCAAGTATTCCAGTGTCCCTTTCCCAACCTATACAGAGAGTTTCAGAGAAAGAAATAGACAAAATATATACATGGATGTGCATACATACATGCTATGTATGTAGACGAAATATGATGAGTTGCCTCTGACCACACGGATGACAGGAACATGTGGGTAAAAGGTGGCTTTTAGAGACAGGATTGGGAATGCCTAGGAATGGATTTCTCTTTTCAATTTTGGCAGTTAAGTTCCATAGTCTGCAGGGTGATAAATATTATCAGAGCCCATTTAGTTCTGCAAATCCCATTAATTCTCTGGAACATCTCTCTCTCTCTCTTTAAATTTAAGGAAAGTTATGAGTTAGCATAGTCCATACTAACATTTTAGAATTCTTAACACTTTATTTCAAGGCTTGCTTTAAATAGCCTTTTAGAAAAGATCTTATAGAGCTAAACACTTCATCTTGGCAGCACTTTTCACTAATGCAATTTTACATTCATATATGTATTTATTTAAATTAGAGGTTAAGTATCCCTAATCTGAAAATCTAAAATCAGAAATGCTCCAAAATCAGAAACTTTTTGAGCACTGACATGATGTTCACAGGAAATGCTCATTGGAGCGTGTCAGGTTTTCGATTAGGGATGCTCAACTGTTATGTATGGTAATATATTACTTATAAATATACTTCAAATATTCCAAAATCTGAAAAAGTCCAAAATTAGAAACAGGTTGAGTATTCTTGTACCAAGCATGTTGGACTAGGACTACTCAACCTGTATGACTCCCTCATCTTAAAAAAGGAGGCCAGGGATGTTGTACATTGTTGTTCACCATTATATCTTTAGAGATTATTACAGCACATGGTAAATAATTAGTGCTCAATAAATATTTAATGACCTAGTAAATTCTTGAGTGAACGAATGAACAATAAGCTCAATCTTAATGTTCCCTCACTCCAAGCTGCCCAGAATCAGGTTATGTTATCCTCTCTTGCTTGAACTGAACCAATGTATAATTATTTTTCATAAGTTAACAAGGTGTTGTTAATGATTTAGCAATGCCATAGTTAAGGTAATTTTCATTTGAGAGTGAGAAGGAAGAAGGGATGGAGGCAGATAAAGAAGGGAGGTATGAAGAGAGGGAAGAAGGAGAAAGGGAGAGAGAAATGGAAACACAGAGATGGAGAGGGAGAATGAGAGAATGAGAATGAATGAATGCCTAGGGTTTGCTTAAAGGAAGGGAATGGATGAATAAGGTGGAATGTCAGGCATCAACTGGGGATCTAGTGGTTTAAGGAATGGGATCCTAAACTCATTTCAACATGCTTAGTTAGTAAACAATCCTTTTATAATAACAGAGCCTGGATATCATGTACATTATTAATATAACACTATTATTTAATTCTCTATTGCAATGATTTGCTACCTTTCTAAATATGAACAAGTCCCAATTTCCCTTAAGGCCAGACTCTTTTCCTGCTTTTTCAACTAGGGGGCTTTAGTATTGGGGTCTTACAATCTGATCCCTCCAAAATCAGTGCCTTCATTACCACATCAGCACAGAACCACGGTGCCACAAAGTGGCTAATGATCTTGGGCAAATCACTTTACCTCTTTGAGTTCCTCTCTCTAGTTGTAAAGATGGCAATACTAGTATCTACCTTATTTAACAGGGCAATGGTGAATTAAAAAGAGATATGTAAAATTGAATAATTATCATGTTAACTTTTACACATTCGTGTCAAAATTATAATTTAAAAACATGAAACACTTGGAAAGTTGTCTGTGTCCTTAGACATCAGTTATTTAAAATAAAAAAAAAAGTATTTGTTTACTTATATGAAATGGCTTTGGAAGGCTCAAATGAACTAACATCAGTGAAAGTGTTTCATCCACCTACAACTATGATTATTTCAAATCCCAATAAAATTTTATCTCAACAAATACTCTTATGCTTACTTTGGCAGCACATATACCAAAATTGGAACAAAAAAATGCTCTTACCACAAACATTTATGAGTGGTACACCACAGCAACATAATCTATTTCAAAATGGCCTACATCAATAATTTTAAATTATGAAAGAATTTGAACTTCAAAGAACATTATTATATTCTCTAAATTGTAATGTAAGTTAAGACAATGCAGCATGCAATATCGTCACAAAAATATTTATGTAAAATTAATCATCGAAATCCTATGGATCGATTTTATTAAGTAGTTCTATAAGGCAAAGATCTAATTTGAAAATGATGATGATTTGGACTACAAGCCTGCAATCAATTTCTTCAAAAATACATGTGAATTTAATTATCCCTGGAAACTATCTTTTGAAATGGGCAAAAATATCCACAATGTGTCATAAGTGCCATACTTCTGCTCAGATTTGAGTCACGCTGCTTGCCACAGCTAAAATTTCTCACAAAGGCTGAGAGTATCCTCACAGCAGTGCAGTTACTCATTATCTCGAATCCTGGATATAAAATTGTCAGCTTCCAATTATTTGGTGGAATAAAGTATGAAAACATGGCGAAGAAGTGACAGAGAAAAGAAATTCAAAATGCTCTTCCACCTGAAACCACTTCCCTGTGTTACTTCTGATATGGAGATGGGTTATAAAATCAACATTTTAGCCCACCCAACAAGATAGGAGACTGAAATCATCAACATGGAAACTAAAACCATGGCCTAGAAAAGCAACCACATTGCAAAACAGGTCAGCACATTAAATAGCGCGCGCACACACACACACACACGCACACGTGTGCATGCGTACATACACACCAACCTTGCTCATCATATGGCCTTCAGCAAAGATATAAACTTTAGACACTAAAAATAGTCCCTTAAAACAAAAAAAAATCATTCTATTAAACCATACTCTATGAATGTTTTAACTAATCTGGAAGGCCACATTTATTTTACAATTACAAAAAGAGAAAGTTGATGAGACGCGAAGACAATGAGGGCATCTTGTGACACCCTGCCACCACCACCTATTCTTCCGAGCTTGCTGTAGCTGTTTGCAGCAATTCCATATTTTACATGCCTGAAATAGCCCTTGGTCTCCTTCCATGTTCTTAGCATTCTCCTTTTACTGCCAGATTATTTCTTCCCTGAACATCTCTCCCAAAAATTTAGAGACAAGACTAAGAGGCTAAAGGCACTATTGAGGGAAGGTGCTGAGAGTGCCTCCCTCCACCAAATTTAGTGTTCTGGCAGCAGAGTCTCTGCAGGACCTCTAGTCTGAACATAACCTGGATTAGACTCCCTGCCTAAGGAGAACCTTAAAGCACAGTTCAATCTAGCGGAATTTTCAGAAAGACTTACAGCTTTCAATTTCCAAGGTGCAGTTTTGTTCATCCAGTGGGTACCGCCTTAGGTCCATCATGCAGGCAGCTGTGGTTGTGATTCTAGAAAAGAAATAGCAATAATATATGTTGGTAGTAGGTCTATAATTGGAATCGGAAATTTAAATCCAAGCATCAAAGAGGAGACTATGATTTAGCCTAAGCTCTAACGAAAAAGACTAACGCAACTTTGGATAACCATTTTCTTTTCTGTGTATCATGTTGATTTATAAAATAAAGAGATTGGACTAAATCAGCATTTCCCAAAGTATGGTCCATTAATTATTGGTAACAAAATCACCTCAGAGTGTTCACCAGGCAGTTGTCATGCTTCCAGAATGTGTTGAGGTGAGCTGAGCTGAGCATGCTTCCAGAATGTGTTGAGGTGAGTTGTTCCCAGTACTCTATTTTACAAGCATAGCTGTGACTGAGAACATTGGCAAAGATTTACTCCTCTTCCTCTCCCATTTGTTTTCTCATTCCTTTCTCAATACCCTAAAATCTAATCTTCTGTCAATCTTAGCTCTGACCCATCATTTTTCACCTTTCTATTCATAGTATATACTATTAATACTTTACCAGTGCTTTAACACAACACAAAATCAGCCTTTTATCTACTACCTGATTTGTTCTGCCTTGAGTGATCTGATATTCTCATGACCCTTTAGAGAATTTCCTCCTATGGGCTGGCAGAGTTATATATTTAGAACTCTTGGTACCTTTATTATTTTATCACAGAAAAATTAAGTATGTTCTTTCAATTTATCTTTATGTTTCTCTGTCATCATTTTTCACTAATCTCTCTATTGAAGACCTTCTAGGAACAGCAAAAAAAACCAAACATATAGTTCTAAAAGATTTATCAATGTATGTTTTCTGATCAATAAGACAGCATAATGTTATGAAAGAACACAAGTTTTAGAACACAATTGATGCAGGTATAAATTCTAACTCTATGTAAAGAATCTAACAGAGTGCCTGGCACATAGTAAACTCTTTAAAAATTTACATTCCCTGAAAGAAACTAAGAGCACAAGTTAATGATGAATTTGACCAACTTAGGCTTACTCTACTGTGAAGGGTATTATATACTACGTTTTGGGAACACAGGGATAACACATATTAATAGCTCCAGCTTTGAAGAAACTGTCTACAGATAGATCTTTTTTTATTAAAAAAATCTTAGACAAAGCTTAAACCAGTAAACCAGGTAGACTGAGTCTATGGAATTCCTCAAGTAGGTGTGAGAATCTGATCCCTCAATTGTAGAATGAAAATATGTGATTAACTTAATGTAAATAGTTCTTGCCTCTTTATTTTGATTCCTGTTTCATTAAGGTTTGTGATCTGTGAATTTTGTTTTCCTTTTTTATGGTAACTATCCTAGGGCTGATGTTGATATGATTCATTTATTTCTTTCACTAAGTCCTGCTGGCTACTCTGCATCAATTCCTGACCATTGCCACTGCCTCTCTCGGAGAACTATGTTGCCTCTCCCGCACACTCAAGTCACTGCAGTTGCTTGGTCTCCTAGCCTCTCCATGTGCCTGGCTATAATCCACCATCCACACAACAGAAAATCTTTCTTTTAAAAGCATAAATTAAATTTTATAACTCCCCAGCTTCAAATTTTCATTGGCTCTTACAAGAAAATCTAAAGTCCTGGTTATCACCTACTATGCCTTAAATATTCTGCTCCTTTTCTTCCTTCCCAGCATCATCTCATACCATGTTCCCACTCAGTATCTTTTAGGCTTCACGTTTGCTCCCTCTGCCCAGAACATCCATCTCCCTGATCTGCCCAGAGCCCTCTTCTTCTGATCCTTCAGCTCAAAAGCCTGAGAAGGCTCTTTCCAAACAACACACCCAAAGTAATTGCCTTAACTAATACTCCATGCTATCTTTCTGTTTATTTCTTTCAAGCAGTTATCACAATCCGAATTCATCTTGCTTAACTTTTTTAAGAACTGTCTATTTTTCCCAATAAAGTTTAAGCTGCTTAAGAGCACAGACTCTATTAAGGCACCCAACAAATATCCATTAAATGAAAAAATACATGATTTAATAAAAAGGCTAACAGTTGGCCTTACTTGTCATAAGCCTTTCCATTTTGAGGATTATTTTTATCGCATTATTTCTCTTCTTTTTATTAATTTAAAATTATAGTGTATCTTAGGTTGTAGAGGTTCGTTTTATATTTTAACAATAGACACATTTTAATCCATTTAATTAACATTACATAACCTCTAACCAGACTTTATCTTGTTATCAAATTGTTTGCTTCTGCTTTTATTGGGATTTACCAGATTCTTATCTTCTATAAATTCTATTAAAATTAATGTTCACATTTCACTCTTTACTCAGGGTTAAAAAATAATAATCTATTTTAACTCTCTGACCCCTGGCTGGATGTTTAACTGGTCCACTGATGTTTTTTATTTGTTTGTTTGCTTTTCCATGTGGATACAATCTGAATTGCCACTAACATACAGAGACCTGTACTATACGCAACAGAAATTTTCAATGGAAATAAAATTAGATTCATGATAGGTATACCAAACACCAGTGCTATTAATGTAAAATGGCAGAAATAATCCCTGTCTTGAGAAATTTGAGCAAGTTAACTTCATCTGACAACATGGATATAAAAGACATGAAAGTTACAAGGGCACACACAAAACAAAAAAAGAGAGAGCCAAATACAGAAGGCCTGACTGTGTAAATGAGTAAAATTTTCAATTGCTACTAGATTGTGGTTCACACTTGCTGCTGATACCTATTCATGGCAACTAACATCTGTGAACTAGTGCTGTAAACACCAAGAACAATAATTTGGCTAATGCTATCCCAGGAGCAATGAGTTATATTCATGTTTTAAAAATAAAGTAGAAGGAACTGTTTTTATCACAATATTCCTACTTAGGTCAGCATTTTACTGGTTTTCTAAAATGGTATAATATACTTCATAAAGCTAGAACATATTCTAAATGCCTTCTAGTCAATATTTACAAACCATTTGTACATGTCTCCTATTGGATCAAAATAGGAACTTTGGAGCCATTTGAAACCATGATCATATACACAAGGATGAGTGACCTTAGATAAGTCACTTATATTTTTTTACACTTGCTAGCCCCATCTTGAAAGTTTCAATTAAAAACCATCCTAATTCATTGAGAGATTAAAAAAAAAATAGGAAGAGATTTATAACATAAAATGTTCTGTAGCCTTTGTTATAGTTATTACATGTTATTGAGTAGACATAGTGATGATTCATTTTATCAAAAGTTATTTAGTAGTGTATGTGTTTATATACATGAAGACACATAGACATGTAGAATACGTTCCTCTAAAAGCACAACTTAATCCAATTACAAAGATTAAAAGCATCCTCTAACATTAGCAGGCATCATTATTAGATAAAAATAAAAATGCTACAAAGGTCAATTATCAAAAAATATATGAATATATATTTTTGCAAGCTATAAAACGAAACCAATTTAAAAACTTGCAGCTGGGGGAAGGATCCAAATACTGAATTTAAGCATTAGTGTGTGAAACGAAATTTTACAAAGTTCTAAAGAGCTCATTCAAATCTTTTCCTCCCGCAATGGTAAAATTAAAAATTAAAAAAGTTTGCTTTTATATTCTCCAAAAAGGCTTGTTGTTATTCTGTGTTTCACAGTCATTTTAGATGGGAAACTAAATTAATTTCTTGTTCATATCTGTCTTATAATCTGCTCTTACTTTTTGTAGAGTAGGTATAACATTGCTGTAGGAGTTAGGTGACTTTCACTTTGGTGTTCTCACTAATAACAAACATACCTCATATTAGTTGACCACTCACTAAGTCCCAGACACCAAATAGCATCATTGGAAATATATCATCTCATTTAATGCGAAGTCAGTCCTATTAGCATTCTCATTTCATAGATGACAAAATTGAAACACAGAAAGATAGAATGACTTTCTCCAAGTGTCAAAGAGTGAGTGATGGAACTGGAATTTGAATCTAGGATGTTTGACTCCAGAGTCCACACACTTAACTAGTACGCTATAACTAACTAGCTAGTTGAGCTTGATAAAGTCATTTAGCTTCTCTGGGGCACACTGGTTGACTTCTCATATAACAAACAAGCTTAGAAATTCTATGATCCCATGAAAATACATTACATGTTCTGTGACCTTGTGTATTTTGTAATTTTGTTTTACCCACACATTCAAATGCTGTATTTCACAGCTGTTCATTCTGTTTTAGTCAATTATGTAGATTAGCCCACCCCAGACATGCAAATACAGGCCTCTCCCCAAGGAGTCTACTTAATATTTTCCCCTGATTGAAGGTCTCCCTCAGCATTTTTCACCATTCTACCCTCTTCATTTACCTCTACAGAGGCCTTCTACTCAAATTAAAATCTCCAAGACTCATGCATAATTGTTTTTAAAAGCTCTTTAAAAGTCCTCATATAGAGTCACATGCACTACTAACGCTCAACTTTGTAATCACCAAAAAAAGTAAGATTGCTAGCAATCATGTTCCCATTTGATAAATCATGCATTTCAGATTAGAGCTATTTGTACTCTTCTGCAGCTGTTTGGCCTTCTGTGACTCTTTGGTTTTCTGGAATCTTATCCTCTGCAAAGATACTGTGACTATTAAAGGGCTACAAAGGTTTATGCCACAAATGCAGGCATAATTATGAAAGACATTCCCTTAAATAGCATGCCTGTGGAATCCAAACAGCAGTATATAAAAAAATCTCATTTTGTGAGTATATAAATACTACTCGATCAAAAATATTAATAGATACAGACATATCAACGTCTTTATTATTCTTCTATCGTCAGTCCCATGTTGACCAAGCTTTCTTATACTGCATTTCTGGTGGTCTAACCTACAAATCCTATGCTTATCTCAGGAGTTAGAATATCCTATTTTTTATCTAAGTTATGTCTTAAAGGAAATCTGAGACCTTGAGAAAAAGTAATCTATTTTTGACTCATAATCTAACAACTGAAATCTGCCTTCAGATCATGATAAGAGATTTAATTGAACCAGAATC